TCAATTTTGCACCAAGTTTAAATATACTTGGTAAAAATAAATAATTTGTTTAATATGGCAACACACATGAGAAGTATTACCGTTTCACCTTCTATAATTTGTAACAAGGAGATATGAGCATGTCAAAATATTTTACTATAAAAATGTTTAATTATGTAATAGTAGGATGTCAGTTGAAAAGTGATAACACATTCATAAACCTGAATAGTATGCAATCCCTAAAAATCATTTTATACAAGTAAATTGATTGACAAGGAAAGATTCATAATGTTTCAAATGGAAAACTGCAGACCACAAGATGGTATGTAGAGCATTAAATCATTTTTATTTAAAAAACCCATCCACACAAATCTATAAAATTGTACAGAAAAAATGATGAGTAGGTATTTGAGAGTGTGGGATTATGGGCCATTTTTTCATTTCTTTTCCTTTTTGGCTTATTGTATACTGTAATATTTCTGTAAAAAATGGATATTTTTCCAAAACAAAGAATGCTAACTCTACTCTCTGCCCATCCGGGTTACACACACAAATCATAATTTACTGTGAAAAGCCCAGTATCTTTAACATGCCCACACTGCTAGCTGCAGTTTGTCCGAAGCAGTTTGTCCGAAGTTTGTCTTTTACCTTAGCTTTATTATTAGTCTTCACTATCCTCTATACCTAGCATGACTTATTGACTGTACTCTTTTCTGACCCCTTTGCAACTCCCCATAGAACACTTTTCACTCTTAACTCCTTGTCAAAATCCTCAGGAAACTGTATAGCCTGTATTCAGCATTACCTTCTTCATCAAGTCACTCTTTATCTGCCCTCCTGGAAGCACAGTTGCATTTGCCTACATTCCATCATGTTCAGTGTTCAATGATGTTTGTAAGCTGTCTCTTAAATAATAACTATTGTATCTGTAACTTTATCTCTCCTACTAGACTAGATGTGAAAAGATTCTTTACCTTTGTCTAACTTATAAAACATTTTTAATACCCATCAATCTTTTGTCTTTATAAGATTGAGAGAGAAAGAAAATCTATATTTACATAATGGCAACTGTGTGTTAGGTAGTATTTTGAGGTTTTATTTACATTAACTCACTTAACTTTCACAGCAGTATTGTGGATCCATTTCCTATATAAAACAAGCTCACAAAGGTTCTGTAACTTATTAGTACAGAAATGTAAAAATAAAGTAAAATAATATAAATTATTTTTTAAAAAAATAACTCTGATCTTCCTTCCATTATAAAAACATGATTGTGTATTGTCCCTGGGAAAGACATGAACACATGCAAAGCACCACTGGCAAATGTGTTCCAGTACACTAGCACAGCTATGTATTTAGATAATACTTAGGAGCATCCAAAGTCAAAGGATTTTAGAAGTGGGTTAACTAATCCAACCTTTGTTATGGATGAGAAATATGATCTCTAGAGAAATAAATTTCCCCTCACACACATTTAGTAGTTAAGACAGGTTTAAAACCCACTTAACTTGCAGTATAGCAATTCAGTTAAGATTACAGCCTATGAGGCTGGACATGGTGGCAAATGCCTATGATCCCAGCTATTGAAGGGGCATAGGTAGGAGGATTGTGGTCCCAAAAACCAAGATCTCATCTGAAAAAAAGGCAGGGGGCTGGGGGAGAGGTATGGCTCTGAATTCAAGGTTCAGTACCACCACCCGCAACCCCCCAAAAAAACAAAAATTAGTCTTTGGAGTCAGATGCGTTGGTTCAAATCACAAGTATGGTACTTAATGACAGTGTATAAACTAGAACAATTTACAAAACTTACCTTTGCCTTTGTTTTCTCATCTGTAAAAGGAGGATACTCTGTACTACTGTGAAGATGAAATATTAGATATTCTCCTATCTCCTGTTTCAGTCCAGTCTTCTTTCCAGGCTACTATACTACCTTTTATGGATGAATGCAGAATGGATACTACATTGCAGGATCAAGGTAACAATAAATAAGCATTCACTTATTTATTTGGGAAGTCCTTTTTAAACAATACATGTATTATCTTGATGGATAAAAAAAATTTTCAAAAGGAAGCATTCCCTCACCCAGCACAATAAAATAAATAAATAAATAAATGGAAGCATTCATCCAACAAATGCTGGGTACATTAGTTACTTTTGCATAGCTATGACAAATACCTGGAAAAAAAACCATTTAAAAGAGGAAGGATTTATTTTTGGCTCATGTTTCAGAGGATTCAGTCCATGGATGCTTGGTTCCATGCTGGGGTCATGCACTTGGGCAGAGCATTATGACTGTGACAATGTAGTAGAGGAGGTTCTTCACCTCATGGTGGACAGGAAGCAAAGGAAGGGAGAGGATGGGGACTAGGTATAATCTTTTCAGGCATGCCTCTCAGTGACTTACTTCCTCCAGCTAGGCTCCACCTCCTTAAACCCCTTACCAAAATAGCACCACCAACTGGGGACCAAACTGCCTACTGGGGGACATTTCATATTCAAACCATAACATTCTGCCCATATAGCTGGGTATAAGAGGATGAACAAAACACATATAATTTCAACCTTTATAAATAATGAAATTTGATAGAAGGCAAAATACCTCTGAGATCTTCCCATGGGATATACAGAAACAAATGTCTCACATAGTTAAATCAATATTTGAGGTTATTTGTATATGGACAATTAGGTCTTTCTGTAAAATGACATATTATTTAAAATTTAGTTCTATGTCAATGCTGGTATTAGTCATCTCAACTAGATTTTAGTAAATTTCCTGGAATTATGCTACTTCTCAGCTTTTTACATAAAATAAGATACTGGAATGGCAGGTTTAATTAAGTTTTTCCCTTAAAGTATGTAATAATGATCTGTGAACAACAGGAGTGAAATAGAACAGTTTTGCTAATAATCAGTAAATAATAACAATTCCTTAAAAAGCATTACAAAGCTCAATTTTATTAATTTGTGCTTGCTCACCATCCTCTTTCTATACACGCACACTCTCTGTCACACACATATAAATGTTCACAAATGTGTGTGTGTGAAAACTGCCTTTAGAGTTAGCTGTTCTCTGGATTTAGTCATTAATATGCTGTTGGTCTCTAGATCTCTTGCTTTTGTCTCAAGTATTATGCCCACGTCTATACAGTGCAGGTATTCATTTGAGTTAAGATGATAAAACTGGCCAGTGACCAATGCAGAAGCTATATTATTCACATGGGAAAATTATCTGTGCTAATGGACACATTTCTTTAATCTCTTTATCCTCAAGTTTTCCTATACTGATTTCTAAATGTGATGTACTTTTTAATCCATTTTTACCAGCAAATAAATAGAATGATTCTGCTATGTTTATTTATGAAAGGAAGTATAAAATACGGTAAAAACAGACAAAGTTTAGAGTTAGATAGACTGAATTAAAATTTCATTGTGTCATTTAATTGACCACTTAACTGAATAATGTTTGGGAAATCATGGCCTCTTTGAATCTCTGTAAAAATGTTTGCAAAATAGAGATATATAAGTTTTCTTGATTTTCTTTTTAAATTAAGCATGAAATAAAATAATGTAAAATGCCTGGCAGACAATAGATATTTCTGGTAAATATTAGTAGTTGGCTTTATTAATTTGAATGAAGAAATTACAAACCAAAGGTAAGGATAAAAAAAATTCCTGCCTGTCAAAAAACTAGTTACTATATGGAAATAACATGCAATCTTGCTGAAAACATTTAAAATCTTTTCAACTGGAGAAATAAAGAAAAACACCACATGATTCAATATTTGGATCAATGGGAAAATTACAAAAGTTTGTTGAGTTATTAACCATTCAGGAGGTTAGAAAGATCAATGTGCTGTCCTAAATGAGGTTGCTTTACTTTCAAAAGGCAACTGCCTGATGCATCAGGCACCTTGAATTGATCACATTTTTCTTTATGGTATATTAATTCCTAGAACTCTTTTTGTAATGGGCTGTTTGGAAAAAGATCAATCAGCTGCCTTTTATGGGGAAAAAAAGGTGATTACTGAAACATAAGGTGGTAAATGAAAACTACTTACCTGCAGAAATTGCATTACTCAAGAAAGAGATAATTCGCCAAAGTTCACTACATCACATCTTTCAATAACTGAGTTCCTTTCTTCATATTACACCTTTGGCAGATGCAACTGCGCTTTACAACAATTCTGGCTACCTCAGCCCTCCATCCAAAATTCTGAATCCTTCATATTGAAAAAAGTCTGGAGCAAAGCAAGAGCATTCTTTTATGAAAGTGTACCCAATTCCCGGCCACTAGTTTTTAGAAGGTAAAACGTGCATCTAAAGCACATGCATGAGATTATAAACTTGTTACTATCAATCTTACTAGTTCACAACAACCTCACCTAATTAAAACTGCAGCGGAAACATTCAACTAATTCTAATTCAGGAAAGACCCCCACACCCTGTTTCCCCAAATGTTGGTAAAACAGCCCGCCTCCCAGACATGGCACCTCCAAACTGTGGAAACTACTCGGAAAAACATAGTAAAGCAGATGGTGGGAATGGAGAGTGACCAAGCCCTGCAAATAATGAGGGCACTGCTTGATCATTGGAAGAGACACTGGGCAGTGAGACGATTTGCGGTGCACAATGTCTTCGGCCTCGCCCAGGGACACGGGGGACCAAAAGTCGAGTTCCAAGTTGGAGACATTATTTCGAGTGGAGAGGTGGGATCTCAGGGCCGTGTCAGGCCATAAGGAAGGTCGCGCGTCACGGAGATGGGCTGGGGATTTCTAATTACACTCATTTCTCGTCAAGACACTCAATTATCCCCGGCTGGCGAAGAAAAACCAGGCCCTGGAGAGAACCTTGAAAAATCACTTACCACTCTCCCACCTTCGGCTCGGATGTGCAGGAGTTGGGCCCTCTGGCCAGTCAAGACCTCACACCAGCTCAGACCACCCTGGCGACGGCAGCGAGCGTCACTGACAACCACCCGGAAGTGCTACTGCCACTTCCGGGTCTGCCGAGCGCGCGGCGGGAAATTATTTCCCAGAGCCCGGATTAGTGTGAAGCAGTGAGTACTGCAGCGGCTGCCGTCGCCCCTCCGCCGCCGCCACCCGAGGCAAGCAGCCCAGACACTCCGGCCGGGAAGGTAAAGGGCCTCAGCATGGAAGACACGGTTTACCCTGACTCTGGGGCTGTTTCTTTCCCAGGCCGCGCCTCCGGGAGGAGTTTCCGCCCCCACCCCCCCCCAAGCCGGGAAGGGGCCGGGGCCAGCGGCGGCGCCCGGCTCTCGTGCTTTCCTCAGCCGCCGTCGGTTCCCACTCTCCCCTCGGTGCCCGCGTCGGTGGGATGCGGCCGCAGATGTCGCCCGGCTCTGCCCGAGGCGCGACAGGGACCCAGCGGCCAAGCGCCTGTCGGCAGGGCAGCGCTTCCCCGTCCCCGCTGGCGCAGCTCCGCGCTGCGTTCCCGCAGCCGGCGCTAGGCCGCCCGCGTCCCCTGTTTCCATAGAACCTACTGGGACGTCTTTCCGGGATCCCACCTTCTTGGCTGCTTCCCATATGTGAAGCATCAGTGAAAGTGGCACGGATCCCCCAGGCCCTCCTTCCCGAGACCAGCAAAGTCGTGTCATTCTCTTTCCCCTAGGAGAGGTTTTTGTTTCTGTTTTTTTCCAGAGATGGTAGTAAGCTCTGCGCGTCTGTAGACCTTTAGACCCAACCATCCACTCACATTTTCCTCCTGGGAGGATGTGTGCTCCTGGGAGTAGATCTCAGCTGCTGGAATGCTGGCGACAAGACTTAAGTGCTTATCTGGAGATTTCTTCCACTGCCAAAGCCTCTCATTAAATGTTGAAAAAAATTTCCCTTAAATGCTCCATATCGGTATTTGACCCTGGAGTTAGATGGAGCTTGATTTTGAAAGCCCCAAGCTCTTTTTTTTTTTTTTTGACAACTGACTTTCCTCTATTAAAAAAAAAAATCTCTGAATTTCCTTTGAAACATTGGGAAATGACTGGATTTACTGTACGACAGGCACTGCACCTTGTGGACTGTTTGGATTGTGTTCCTCTGCAGTGCCTCAATTCCTAGAAGTATATTGATGTGCAAGATGTTCCTGTTAATGGAAAGTGTCTAACTTATATTTCTGTTGTTCAGTGCATAAGCTGATGGTTTGGGGTGGATTTGTTAACTCCAAGAGTATCTTAAATTTTAATAAAATAGGTTCAATTACTTGAATGTTTAAATACAGTTTTTGTAAAGACGATTAGCCTTCAGTAAACAGATCAACTTCTGTCAGATCTGTTTTCTAAATTCAGGTTTTCCTATGCTTTATTGACTTCAGTGAAGTTCAGTTAATGTGATTTCACATTTTCTTGCTTTCCTGAAACAGAAAGCATAGATCGTGTGACATGGTAGTCAAATGAGATTACTTATAATCAAAATTAAGATCTCTTGAGATTTCATTTTAGGCACCCACAGTTTCCACTGATGCCCCAAAATATTGGTTTTTTTAGGAAACCAGTAGCATGGCTTTGCTAATTAGGCAGTATTTTCATTATTATGTGTATCTTGACTATGTTGTTCTACAGTAGTCTTTGACTACTTAAAATATTTTTAAAATAAAATCAATTCTATGTAAGCTGTAAATAATAAAGTCTAAAGAAACTGAAGAATCCTCTTTTTCAATAATATGAAGTTGAACATTACCTGTTACCCATGTAATTGACTCTAAACACACTAATAGAAAACACATGCTGTAAAATGTTTTAGGTACTATTTTGTACCACCTAAGGATATATATTGCATAAAAGTAAAACATCTCTGGAACTTTTAAATCACTTAGTTTTTACTGTCTAGCAAAATTACTTTGAAGTTAAAAATGTGCTATTTTGTTATTTTTCATCAGGAAGAAAACCTATATGAATTATTCATTGGTTAATCCCAAATCTGTGTTGAAAGGAAAATAGTGGAAACTTTGTGCTTCACCATAAGGAAGAATAATGGCATTGTTCATATTGTTCCTAAAAATGCATTGAAATTTTAGACTTTGGTGACGTTTTTTCTGAAAATGATTTATAATTATGTTTAAATCTTTTCAATTTTGCTAATCTAAATGTCTTCCCACCCTTGTAGTGGACTCCTTTACATGTAATGTACCTTTCTCTTATACTAGCTGAAAATAAGATTGCTTTGTAAAATTATAATGTGGTTAAGAATATTAGAAGACTTAAGTTAGTCTCTATGCCACCCTCATGCTGAGGATTGCACTCAGTGCCTCACTCCCACTAAGCACACACTTTATGGCTGCGTTCCATCCCCTCCAGCCCTGGCTAGTTTCTTAAACATATTTCCCAGTGTTCTCATGTATAAGAGAAGGAAAAATACCATTAATGTTGTGAAGAAGGTAATGAACTGACATGAAGTGGGTAGATCACAGAAAGTGCTCAATGACAAATCCTGCTTCTTCCACCTTAGAGTTATGCTCTCGCATGAAGTAATCTAGACTTTCTAGGATACCAAAGCAGGTCTGGTGGTCATTATCTACTGTCTATCATTTTTCTACTGAACCTCATCTTTCATGTCCAGCTTGCTTTCCTTGACCTCTAAGCTAACATATCCAGTCCAACCTGTATCGTATACAACATTGGGTAGGTAGGATATATCCACACTTTCCCTCAGCCTCACTTCTTCCTCACTGCAGTCACTTGGATGTTAGTCCTCCATTTCCTCCCTGTACTGTTAAATTTATCATCAAAGGGACTAATGACTGCTCCTTTCCCGGATAATACCATAGGAGTAAGAACATCTCTTAAGTATTATCTCTGGAGTCCTCTGTAAAACAAATGTGTCTTTGAAGGATGGTAAAAGAAATATATACTACTACATATTTTTAAACAAATTCCTAAGGCCTACTGAATGAAATTAAGCCCAGGGCCTTAGGCCAAGAGGGGCTAGAATTCCTGAACTCCTCTTGAAGTTAAAGCAATCAGATCCCAACAGTATTTTACTCACACAGCATGAGCACTGTGACATGAGTGTACCTTTTGCAATATTGATTAAAGCATATATCCAACACTTGAACCTTCTTCAATTTTAGTGCATATTTAATTCTCCAGTTGAATGTTTTAGATAAAAGAAATCATGAAAATCTTTCAAACTCTTGAATTCAAAGCAACAGTATTGATTGCATTCAAGGCTTGGTATATGGTTTTTAAAGAGGGAATTTAAAATGACTTTCTCGATTTTCTGTAGAAATAGGTTTAAAATCAAAGTTGTTTACTAGGATAATGGAAATCAAGAGAACACTGATTTTCATCCATGTTGCTGTAAAACCATAAAGAATATTATGTAGCATGGAAAAATGATCATGGTATTACTTTACATGAATATTATGATATGCAAGTACATAATACCTGAATTTTGTTTTACATATACGCACACACACACACACACACATACATACCTATAAAAATTTTTTTGCAAACACATAAAACTGGAAGGTCAGTTTCTCCCAAATGTTATAGTAGTGGTATTACAAGGTAAAGGAATTAGATAGATTTAATCTTTATATTTTGTTGTATTTTGAATTTTTCTATAGTAGTTATGTGTTGATTGACATTAAAAGACAAAAATAAAGTTTTTATGGAAGTAAATATAGTCCATATATATATATATATATATATATATATATATATATATATATGGCAGATTATAAAAGTAATTGTCAATGCAGAACAGGAAAGATTTATCCTTATTTTCTTACTAAGACCTGTTTTAGCATCCCTCCTTCTCTTCTCTACTCTGCTTTCCTCTTCGGCCCAACTGCTACACCCTCTTGTTTTATCCTCCTTCCAAGCCAGTTACTTGTGTTCCTTCTTCCTCCCAGGTCTCACTGTACAGCCTGCCCTGGCCTGGCTCAGGATCCTCCAGCCTCAGACCTTCGTATTCTTGTCTGCTTTTCTCTGAGTTCCCCTTTCAATATATTCTGGCTATGTTTTATGCTAAAATATACGTGTTAGGCTATGCATTATTAAAGAAAGGATCTAATAAAATGCTCACATGAGTGCTATAGGCTTACTTGTCCTTCTTACTGGCACCAACTGTGAAGGAATTTCAGGCATCAGGGATAGGCCCATGTGGGAGATATTTTGGGAAAGTCCACACCACAGAAACAGTTGCTTACTATTCATAAAGGCCAGCTCTATGCATAATCACTATCTTCTTATTTGTGTATATTATATGATTCAAGGTAAGTAAACATTTAAAAATTACTATAAATTAAAAAAACATAACTACAAGAGTATTTTCTTATAACTGGGAATGTAATCTATAAATTTTAATTTTTTTGGCAGTAAAGGTAAAAACTGTCAAAAATGAATACTCTCTTTTCACCCCTTTTTTGGTTTAGTATCCTCTGTGTGGATGCTTTAAGGACTACCCTCTCATAAATTCTAAAAAGATCTGTAACTTTCCCAGAAATACCACTGGTACAATTACATTATGGCATATTTCCTTTATTTGTTGTACTAGGACCTTTCAGGAAATTAGATGTTGAGCCTCCCTATCCCAGAATATATCACCTGCATAAAACTTGACCCTAAGGATTAAGGTTTTTTAATTAAGGATTTTTAATTGTCTGGGTTACTGATATGTATTAAGGAAATTTTTATAGTGTTCTCTTTGAATTCATCGACATTATCAGGATAGTGTTGATTTCTTAATCCTGCAAGGTCAGAAGAACTATCAAACCAGTAATTCTATAAATATAAGTAAATCTATAAATCTATGGGTACATTGTGTTATGGCTACATTTATACATGTCATTTTCTCCCTGTAACTGGATTAGATTTGTGATCTAGGTCATTAGTTTGTTGTACGATGTGGCCTTAAAAAGCATTGCTACATTTATTGTGAATTGTTGCTTTAAGAAGATCATTTTATCAAAAACTGCTAGTTATTTTGTGTCATCACCTTGATTCACAGTTCTGTGAGTTTAACTAATAGTCCATTTTTCTGATAAACTTTTAAAGTGTCCTGTATTCTGATTTGTTGTTAAACATGTCTATATTTGCATGTTTGAATCAGAACATCTGTTTTTTTCATTTCTTACTTTCCTTTCCTCTTTACATGATTAGTTTCAGTTTCATATTTAATCAGCTGTTTAAAAGACTTTCATGATTTCTATTATACAAAGTTGGTCCTATTTTCGTCTTATTGTGGGATCTTGTCGGAAAATGCTGCTAAATATACAGTATACAGAGGGGATTATTTCTGTCGGTCTGTTTTGTTGCAAAGACATTGTGGTTTAAAATGAAAATACTGCTTTGTGTGCTGACTCCAGTAAGTTCAAGGAATTTAATAATTTATCCACCAAACCAAAGTATGTTAAAATGTCACTTGGTTAGTGACAAACATTCAAGTTGTAAAATGGCTATTATTAACTTGATAAGAAAAGAACACATAGTGTAATAGATTTTTTTCTTATTTTTCTACATTACATATTTAATTTTAGGAAGCATAATAATGAAATTTAAATGACAGCCTTTAAATAAAACTTGTTGGTAATAGTGTCACAGAAATTTTTATTGGTTTCTGTTATGATTATTTAATAGTTTTTAACACATTAATATTTTAGAGTAGCCAGATAGATGAGATTTTAGGTTTTAAAAACCACTGTAACTTCCACACTTTGGCAGCATTTCTTGAAATAGCCTGCTCAATAACTTGCAAAATTCTTTAATACATAAATAAAATACAAATAGTAGAAAAAGTATATACTGCGTTTGAAACCCTTGTTTCCTTTGATAACTTGCTTGTGAGAACTATAAAGATAGTTATTGATTAAATACCAGAATGATATTTACAAGTATATTGAATTTCATTTGTCTAGTACTTCTGAAAGGACCTATCATTTTCTAAAGTACATAAAGTAAATAAATCCTAAACTAAATAGATCCTTTGCTCAGGGAGCTATTTAAGTAGGTCTTTTGAATTAATAAAAAGCAGCATTTTCCTTAGGCTGTGTAATGCACATGTGGCTTTATTGTATGTATTTATATGTGTTCTAAATCAGACTGACTCATCATTGTTTCTTGTAGCAGTGTATATTCTGTAAAAGTTTTATATTTTACTATTCCATGTGAATGGATATTTTCACTCAAGAGCTGTTATTTAATCCATGTAAATGGGTAAAAAAGATGGCTAATTAGTAAAAAGTTCCCTATGCAGAAGCTACTTATACCTCATTTACTGATACTATTTTGCTTGTGTAATTATTCTTTTATAATGCCAAGCCCTACTGTTTACACATTTTAATTTTGTATTAACTAGACCAAATCCTTGTAACTTTTAAAAAATGATTTGTTTCATTGAAGAATCTTATCCTTAAAGATACTTTCTTTATATTCTGCATCTGAATTTTGGAATCTTTGAGGGTTAATACATTACACATCTTTACCTCTTTTGGAGCCAGTTGGCAAACACTAAAATTGGATAGATGGAGGTAAAAATATCAGCTTTTAAGAAAAATCAGGATGTGCATTTTATTAAGATTACCAGATGAATTGAAAATACCAGCTTTTTTACTGAATAAAGTTGGTTTGAAGGAGATGGCTTTGATGTAGAGCTACAGTGTGCTTTATAATACATAACCTCTGAATTGATCTGCCCACACAGAGTACTGGACTACTACTGGCAACTTGTTAGGATGTGTCAGAAAGCATTAATATGAATCTCCTTTGTAGATATGCTGAGCAAATCATATTCATTTATCTGTCAAGGGAGTCATGATGAAGGGTAGATAGAGAAACTGGGAGTGCTTTATCATAGCTGAAGTTCCTCCTTTTAGGAAGCTTAAACAAGGGAAAGAAGATTCACTCCTAACCTTGAGTGACGCTTTAAATGGCTTATTGAAAAGCTTTCTTTCAAATCTTACTCTAAAATGAATCTCATCCTTTAAGTAAATAGATACATCTATATTTACATACATACTTAATATAACTATGTATGGTTTTCCTTAGGTATATATAGGGGTTTGGGTACAGGACCCCTTTGAGTCACAAAACCTGTGGAGTCTAAAGTGCCTTAATAAAATGTAATATTTGTATATGAACTATACACATTCCCCTGTATATTTTAAATCATCCACAATAACTTAAAGCGCTTATTACAGTGTAAATACTATGTAAATAGTTATTCTGTATTGCTTTGGGAATTGAGATAAAAAATATTCTGTTCATGCTCAATACCAACTGAATTTTTTTCCCAAGTATTTCTGTGTGCAAGTTGGTTGAATCTGCAGATATAGAACATCTGCAAGGACTTGGATATCTACTACCTATTTATTTTAGTCTTTAAAGATAAAATTTCTATAAAGAACACTTTTTTTCACTCATTTTGTGCTTTTAGTACTGGGCTCAAATCATTTTACTTTAAGTTATTTTTGTTTTATTTTAATTTTTGGTGCTAGAGTTTGAACACAGGGTCTCAATTCATGGTAAGCACACTCTACCACTGAGCTTATATACCTTGCCTCTGAAGGTTAAATTGAATTGTCTTAGAAGAAGCCATTGCTTCATGAATGTTGAAAACATTCATTGCTGTTGCTCTGCCTGTGGTGTTAGTAAAATACTAATCCATAGATAGTGTGACAAAATTGTTAGAGAAGTATTACTGTGATTTCTCTTATCCCTGGTTTCCTTGTCTGTAAAGAGAAATAAACTTTTCTCCAAGATGTCTCCTACATTTCTAACCTCATGTAAATAAACAAAAGTATATTCAGATTAGAAGTGCTATGTACTATCTTAAATATAAGGTACCTTGTGAACTACATTTAAATATGTATTAAGATCCCTATGAAAATATGCTTAAGTGAAACCTTGTTATTTTTTTTCAGTTTACTTTGTAGTTGATGAAATTAACATATATAAATAGTAAAGTTAAGAAATGTAGATTGGGAATAGAAGCCAGGATTGTGTGTACCTACTGTACTGAATTATTTGATATCAGTGCTGTGGGACTGAGTTCTATCAGCTTTCCAGTGACTTGTACGTAGTTATTATTTGTCTACAGACACTTCAAGAATCAGTATAAAATTTGATCATTTTCTTATCCACAAGAGTACTTATTCCAAAGGCATTTAGCAAAAAGAAGCTGTTTAAAAATAAAGCCAGTTTTGTGCTAATATTTATATAAGTCTCTATCCTTTTTGAATTATATTTATTTATCAGTGTTTTAGTGAAACGTTATGTACTGGAAACTTTCAATGTCCAAACCAAAAAAATTTATTTTCCCACTTTTAAGGTTGTATTTTGGGGAGATAACTTTTAAAACTAGTTTCTGTTAAGTAAATCTAACATTAATATTTACAATTAAGTCATACATTTAATCATTATATGTTAATGTTTTAGTTTCTAGTTTAGCAATCTAATGTAAGAAATAAGTCAACCCTATGAATAATATGTTTAACATTTGTTATCTTCTGTATGTGTGTATATGTTAGATGGAAGGTGGTGCCCCAAAGCATATCATCCAAATGACAGGATTTAAGATGGAAGAAAAGGAAGCTCTAGGCAAATTACTTTTAAAACTAGATTGCACTTTTATTAAGAGTGAGGTGAGTAAAGAAACATATATCCAAATGTTCAAGGTATAGTTAAAAATGAAATTAAAATACTGACTTAAGACTGATAAAATGCCCCCCTTGATATTATAAGAATTAAAATATCTGTTATTAAGGGAATCTTAATACTTTAGTAACATTTCTTCATATGGATTTTTCTTCTCCAGAAATACAAAAATTGCACACATCTTATAGCTGAACGCCTGTGTAAGAGTGAGAAATTTTTAGCAGCTTGTGCAGCAGGTAAGTGGATTGCCTTTTCCCAACCCTTGAAAAATATCTTTATGTTAAAGTATCTTAGTCTCTGGAAAGACAGCATGTTCATTATATCAAAAATAAACATGTTTTTTTTCTGATTTTTTTGGAAAATTTGTTCTATATTTTTATCTTAAGTAAAATTCTGTAATGTGAAGAATATATCAAATAAGCAGAAATACTTCACCAAAGTTTTTTTAATTTAAGAATAAAAGTGCTTTAACAAAGATTGACACAAAACACTAAACCTTAAGCTTTTGTTGATGCCTTAGTTGTTCTCAGACAAGGTAATTCTCTTTCAGCTGTTCACCTTCTTTCTATACTATGAAGCAACAGTCATCCTATATTTTTCTAAGATACTTAGAAAATTTCTAAGTCTAAGTTAGAAATTTATAGTAAATTCACAAAATTCTGTAGACCCAAGTTAGGACTTAGCCATCTCTTTTCTCCCTTTGTCACCATTGATTCTCCTATAGCTTTCTCTACTGTGATTGACTTGGCTTATCATTAGTCTACTGATTGCCAAAGCAAATTCTTTAAAGTATATGCAACTGAGGTAAACTTACTGTTTTTTGGATTAACTAATGAGAAACACTTGGATTCATTGTTAACTCCATGAATGAAAGCATGCGTTGTCCCTCTGTCTAAAAGATCATTGATACCCAGTTAAACCATAGAATGTTAAGTGTCCTAAAAATTCTCTTAACAGTGCATTTGTTTGACAAGTATGTGTAACAATGCTCCAGACATTATTGAAAATGTTTTTAGTGTAGAAGGAAGAATATAAATCTAACCCCTAAAAGGTGAATAATTTTAATAGTAATAATTGAAGTAATACTATATTTTATTTTGAATTTTAAATCTTTAGATGTATGTTTCATTTAGTAATATTAGTATTATAATTATTTCTCATAGAAAAGATTAGATACAATGTTCAGTGATGTTGTAGCCTTCACTCTCAAATTTGTAGTTCAAAAATAACGTTGACAGAGTAGCATAAGAATCTTGTGTTGAAAGGTTGACATTTATTTGGTGCTTGATTTTTATTGTTTGCTATTTGTCAGAACCAAAATTCTTTTATGACAGTTCATTTGCTTTTCAGGAAAGTGGGTACTAACTAAAGACTACATAATTCATAGTGCCAAAAGTGGCAGATGGCTTGATGAAACAACTTATGAATGGGGATATAAAATTGAAAAAGACTCCCATTATTCACCTCAAATGCAGTCTGCACCTAAAAGATGGCGTGAAGAGCTGAAACGCACTGGTGCTCCAGGAGCCTTCCACAGATGGAAAGTTGTCCTCCTTGTTAGAGCTGATAAACGCAGTGATTCTCTTGTAAGGTAGGATGAGATCTCATAAAAGCTAAAGCAGTGAGTGAGAAAATAATTTTGATTTACTTGAATTACTTTTTGTATTTTCAATAATTAATTTAGAATGAACTATTAGTGATTCTTGATCTCCTAGGAAAGCCATTCTGCACATTTAAGTGTATGTGTGTCTACTATAATAAAATCTATTTTATAGTATTGTTTTAGATTATTCTTGTGATCTCTGTTTTAGTTTCCATGTTATTTCTCTTTTTGGCCTACTCAAGCAAAATAAAAAAGAAAACAGTAATTGGGAGATTTTGTTTTAATGTTGAAGGACTTTTACATTTTTGCTCATCTGTATTACATTTATCACATAGGCTTTGTTTTGGGTTTACATAGTATTGTCTTTATGGTTCATACTGTTTCTGTCATAATTTCATTTTTTATATAAACATTTTAAAGCTGTCTTACAGGTTGAACTGTATTCTAAGACTTACTACTATTTTTTTTGGTGGGGGGGAATTGTCTTTTCCCAAATGTAATTTATAGACAATGAAATGTACTCATTTTAAGTGTACATTTTGATGAGTTGGGAGAAATTTATATACCCATGCTAGCCTCACTATATCAAGGTCTGTTAACATTTATATCCTATAATGTTCCCTTGTATCCTTACACATTTAATTTTAGATCATCAATGTACTACATTTTTCTTTTCTTTTTTTTTTTTTTTCATTTTTCTTTTATTATTCATATGTGCATACAAGGCTTGGTTCATTTCTCCCCCCTGCCCCCACCCCCTCCCTTACCACCCACTCCACCCCCTCCCGCTCCCCCCCCTCAATACCCAGCAGAAACTATTTTGCCCTTATCTCTAATTTTGTTGTAGAGAGAGTATAAGCAATAATAGGAAGGAACAAGGGGTTTTGCTGGTTGAGATAAGGATAGCTATACAGGGCATTGACTCACATTGATTTCCTGTGAGTGTGTGTTACCTTCTAGGTTAATTCTTTTTGATCTAACCTTTTCTCTAGTACCTGGTCCCCTTTTCCTATTGGCCTCAGTTGCTTTTAAAGTATCTGCTTTAGTTTCTCTGCGTTAAGGGCAACAAATGCTAGCTAGTTTTTTAGGTGTCTTACCTATCCTCACCCCTCCCTTGTGTGCTCTCGCTTTTATCATGTGCTCATTCTGAGTGAGGTTAGCCTGGCCCAAAAGACCAAAAATCGTATGTTCTCCCTCATATGTGGACATTAGATCAAGGGCAAACACAACAAGGGGATTGGACTATGAGTACATTTTTCTTATCTATTTATCAGTTGATGGATGTTTAAGTTCCGTATCTTGACTATTGTGAATATTGCTGTAGTAAACATGGGATTATAAAGATAGCTCTTTAACATACTGATTTCACATCCTGTGGATATGTATACTTAGTAGCAAGTTGGTAGATTATATAGTAGTTCTATTTTTAATATTTCGAAGACTCTCCATATAGTTTTCCATAATGGCTATACTAATTTACATTCCTACCAACAGTGTACATGGGCTCCCTTTTCTTCACATCTCACTAGCACTTGTTATCTTAGTAAAGGTAACTCATTGTGGTTTTGATTTGCATTCCTCTGATGATTAGTGATGTTGAATGTTTTTTCAGACACCTGTTGGTCATTGGTATGTCTTTTGAGAAATGCCTGGTCAGGTCCTGGGTCCAATTTTAATTAGGATTATTTGTTGTTTTCTTTCTATTTGGATGCTTTATAAATTCTAGTTATTAATACATTAATAAATTCTAGTTATATACTTGGCAGGTGTATAGTTTGCAGATATTTTCTCCCATTCTGTATGTTGATTTTATTGATTATTTCCTTTGCTATACAGAAATTTTGGTTTGAAGAAATTGCATTTGTTTATTTTTTGCCTCTACTTCTTGTGCTTTTGAGGTCATATCCAGGAGTAATTGCCCAGACCATTGTCATGAAGCATTTCTTGATTTCTTCTAGTAGTTTCATGTCTTAACATTTAAGTCTTTTATCCATTTGGAGTTGGTTTGTATACATGGTATGAAATGAGCATTTAATTTCATTTTCTTCTTTGTGAATGTCCAGTTTTCCAAATGCAATTAATTGAAGAAATTGTCCTCTTCCATTGAATTTTCTTAGCACTGTTGTTAAAAATCAGTTGGCTATAAATGCCTGAATGTATTTCCTGGCTTTGTGTTGTTTTCTTTTAGTCTGTATTCCTGTTTTCATGCCAATGCTATGCTGTTTGGTTACTGTACCTTTGTAGTGTATTTTGAAATCAGATAATATGATGCTTCCAGCTTTGTTCTTTTTACTCAACATTGCTATGGCTATTCAGCATCTTTTGGGGTTCCTTATAAAGTTTAGGATTTTTTCCCATTTCTTTGAAGAATGTCAGTGGTATTTGATAGAGATTTCATGAAATCTGTAGATTGCTCTGGGTAGTATAGACATTTAAACAGTATTCTTCCAGTCCAGGAACACAGGATATCTTTCCATTTGTATCCTCTTGAATTTCTTTCATTACTATTTTATAGTGTTCATTGTAGAGATATTCCATCTCTTTGGTGAAGTTTACTTTATGTCTTTGTAGCTTTTATAAATGGGATCATTTTCTTAATTTCTTTTTTAGCTAGTTCACTATTAGAAGATAAAACCACCATTGATTTTTGCATGCTGATTTTGTATTCTGCAAATTTGTCAAATTCATTTACTAGTTCTAATAATTTTTTGATGGAATCATTAGTGTTTTCTGTGTATAAGGTCATGTTTTATACAAACAGAAAATTTGTCTTCCTTCCAATTTGGATTTCTTTCCTTTCTTTCTCTTGTCTAATTGCTCTGGCCAGGACTTCCAGTACCATGTTGAATAGAAGTGGTAAAGGTGGGGATCTTTGGTCTTGTCCAGATTATAGAAACTTTCAGTTTTCCCTTGTTCAGTATAATGTACCTGTGGTTTTGTCCTGTATGGCCTTGACTTTGAAATATGTTCCTTCTATACCTAATTTGTTGAGAATTTTTATCATAAAGGCTATTGAATGCTGTCAGATACTTTTTCTGACTCTATTAAAATGATCATAGAATGTTTGTCCTTTATTCTGTTGATGTGATGTATCATTTATTGATTTGTAGATGCTGAGCCATTAGGTTGTTTACTTGAAATTTTTCTTTTTGTTTTTGATACAGGAATTTATTGCTGTAAATTTCCTCTTTAGATTGTTTTTGTTGCATTCTGTGAGTTTTGGTGTGTTATATTTCCATTATTGCTTGTTTCAAGGAATTTTGTTTTTGTTTTGTTTTGCTTTGTTTTCAGTGTTAGGGATTGACCACGGGCCTCTAGTAATATCATATCCCCAATCCTTGTCTTAAATGGTTTTTTTTTGTTTATTCTTTTTTTATTTCCGACTTAGCCATTGATTATTCTGGAGCATGTTGTTTAATTTCCACTTATTTGTGGATTTGCTTTAATTTTATACTATTGTAGTGAGACAAGATGGTTGATATGATTTTAATCCTCTTAAATCTGTTCAGACTTATTTTGTTTCTAGCATGATCTATCCTGGAGAATGTTCTATTAATACTTTAGAAGATGTGTATATTGCTTTTGATGGAATGCTCTGCATATGTCTGTTAGGTCCCTTTGGTCTAAAGTAAATTTAAGTCACACATTTTAATTTTCTGTCTGTATACCTATCCATTGTTGAAAGTGGTGCATTGAAGTTCCCTATTATTATTGTACCATAATCTTTCTCTCCCTTTAGACCTTCTAATGTGTGCTTTATGTATTTAGATGCTTCATTGTTGAGTGTTTATTTACAATTGTTAAATCCTCTTGATGAATTGACCCCTTAATAATTATAAAATGACCTTTGTCTCTTTTTAAAGATTTTTACTTGAGTATCTCTTATCTAATAGCTAGCTTTCTTTTGGTTTCTGTTTGCATATAATCTCCTTTTCCATCCCTTCATTTTCAGTTTATATGCATTCTTAAAGGTTGAAGTGAACCTCCTATAGGCAGCAGGTAGTTGGATCATGTATTGTTTTTTAACTTATTTGGCTACATTATATCTTTTGATTGGGGAATTTAAGGTATTTACAAAATAATTCTTGGTAGGTAAGAATTTACTAATGCCTATGTAATGAAGCCTCCATATAAAAACCAAAAGGGCCAGTTTGGGAGAGCTTCTGGATAGCTGAACATGTAGAGGTTCCTAAAGGTGGTGTACTGGAACATGTATGAAAGCTCTGTATCCCTTCATACATGCCTTGCCCTGTGTAGCTCTTCTTTATCCTTTGAAATATCCTCATGGTAAACATCAGTAAATTCTTCATGAATTCTGTGAGTCATAATAATGAATTAATTGAACCCAAGGAGGTAGTTAAGGGAAGCCTAATTTATAGCCAGTCAGTCTTCTAGAAGTGTAGGTAAAACAACCTGGGGCTAGTGATTGGCATACAAAATTGGGAAGAGGGCAGTCTTGGGAACTGGATGCTCAACCTGTGAAATATGATGTTATCTCTAGATAAATAGTGTGAGAACTGAATTAGATTAGAGGATACTCTACTATTGTTTGCTGCTGCAGAACTACTTCCTTGCTTGCAGATGTGGAGAAGTCCCCACACATTTTGAGATTACAGAAGTCTTCTGTGTTGATTATTGTGGTATGAGAACAGAGTTTTTTTTTTTTACCCACAAAAAAGACCCTGCTTGTAGAATTTTGGGTTGACAGTTTTTTACTTTCGGTAATTTAAGATTCTGTTCCACTATCTTCCATCTTATATAGCTCTGATGAGAAGTAAACTCATTCTTTTCTTCTGTGTGATTTCTTTTTCCCTGATTTCCTTCAAGATTGTCTCCTGACCTTTGGTTTTTAATAGTTTGATTTGGGGGGGGGGGTGTGTGTTGCTTTATTTTGTAGTTCTATGTATTTCTTGTACATGCAAATTTTTCTTTTTTTTTGTCCTTAATTATGGAAAATAACCATTATTTTTATAAATTTCTTCTCTTGTGCTGTTCTTCCTGTTGAAGTACATTACATGTATTTTAAATTATTTGATTCTATTCCTACCGCAACTGCAATGCACTGTTTGAGGATTGTTTTGTTTTAATTTTTGTATTTTAGTTTGGATGATTTCTGTTCACCTGTCTTCAGGTTCAGTGATTTCCTGTCTCAGTTTTGTTCATTCTACTGATAAGCTTATCAAAAAACTTCTTCTGATACAATGCCCATTATTTTAACCATTTCCTTTAAACTCTGATGAATTCTTCATTCCTTAATGCATGCTGTCCACCTTGTCCATTAGGTCCTTTTAAGTTATGGTTATTTAATTTTATTTATTCATTATCTATCAGTCAGGGCCTTATGCTTATAAGGCAAGTGCTCTACCACTTAATCTATGCCCCTACCCTTAAGTTATGGTTTTATTAAAGTCACTTATGATAATTTCAGCATCTTGATCATATCTCAATCTGTACTATTGATTCCCTTATCACTTAAAATGGTTTGAGTTTTTTCCTGCTCAGTTGTGTATGTCTTGTACTTTTTACTGCATTTTGTTTTATACCAGATATGACATATAGAAGAATAATAGGAGAATTGGGTGAGCGATATTCATATCCAAAAATGGGCCTCTCTCTTCTGTAAGGCAGTTAGTATGGGTAGTTGAGCTAATCTTGTCAGTTGTTGAACTGGATTTGAGCTTTGCTCATGCTGCAGTTACCTTCAACCATCGCTTCACCTTACAGCAGTAGGCTCCAATTTCTTTGTGCTTACAGTGTGATGTGGTTGCTATAAGGTTTTTAACCAGCTTTACCCTTACCTTTCAGCAATCCCCACATTACTAGATCACAGGACTTTCTTTGTCTTCTTTCCCTGTCTTGTTAATCATTTGCAGGCCAAGGGTGTGGATGGGTGAATTCTCTGGTCTGCTTGACAGGCTTCATCTTAAGCATTTTCTGTGTTATTGGTCCCTGGGGTTGGGGGTTTCTAAGCATTGGTATTTCAGTCCCTCACTTCCCCCTTGGTAGTCGAATTCTGCCTTGTATCGTTGGGCAAGGGAGGGTTTCCGACCTTTCCCCCAATAATAGATCTCTGCTGTGTGTTGATGAGAAATCCTGGGCCTAAGTGGCATTTTTGCCTCTTCTTCAGGGCAGGTGATTTTTTTTAACTTCTCTTACTCATTTAGAAACGATCTTTTTCTAGGAAGGGCAGCAGGCAGTTTTCCTACCTACCCCTACAACCCCTCCAAGAAAAGCAGTGTATTTTTTCTCCCTGAATCTGAGGGCAGAAGACATTATCATTCTCCAAATATCTAAAGGCTTTTGCTTCATGTAAAAGAAGTAAGGGGAACTGCTTTTATGTCTATACTGAAGTGGCAACCTGTCTCCACTGGCCATCTGTGCTATCCAGGAGGGCTCTGTTTTCCCCTGACCCACCCCTAGTCTTTTTCATGAGCATTTAGTGGAAGCCTATGGCATAGAGCTTGCAAATGAGCATGTGCTTTTCTTGTGTCAGGGACTCCTAGTTTTCTAAAATGCCATACTTGTTATACTTTGCCCTTAAATCTCTTAAAATTTTACCTAATTCTCATGTGCATTTATGACAACCATTTCTTTCCTTTGTTCTGCCAAAAGTGAAATGGTTTGGGTGCCTAGTCTTTTTCATAAATGGGCTTATTGCTCTTTGATTGCTTATTACCTTGGTTCTCTGACTGACTAAAGGAAAGTAGTGATTTTGTAGACTATTTGGCTTTTTCTTATTGGTAGGTAGTACTAGTGTTACTGCTTTCTAAATCCTAAACAGAAGAACTTCATGAAACTTTCAGGACTTGTGTGTGTGTGTGTGTGTGTGTGTGTGTGTGTGTGTGTGTGTGTGTGTGTGTGTATTCTGAATCTAAATGTAAAACATTCTTTTTTTTAAATTTTTTAAATTATTGTGCTGGGGGCACATTAAGAAATTTATAAAAGCTCATACAATATATTATAGTTGAATTCACCCCCTCCATCGTTGTCCTCCTCCCCATTTCTGGAATAGTTTCAACAGGTTTCGTTTTTTCCATTTTCATACATGAGTACATAATATTTCCACAAGACTAAAATATTTTAGAAGTAAAACAAAAAAACTTTAAAAGTCTTGACACTTTTTTAGAGAGTTGGCAACTGATTTCATTTTTGTAGTCCAGAATGATTTCTTATGCTGCTGTCTAGGGTAGCTCTGCTTCCTAAATTGACTTTGTTCTTTTGGGTTACTACTGTGACAGTAGGGAAATACTTTAATATTCATGGTTTGTAAAAGCCTTTCCTATAACAATAAATGGACTGGTAAAGAAAGTAAGATTTCCTAAATATCTGTTTGGAGCAACTTAAGTTTTAAGAAATTACTACAATAATTATTATCCCTGGTCCTCAGTGGCCCAAAAGGACTTAGTTACTTTTAGAAAGTTCCACTACTATTCCTGGGAAGTAATTGATTTAGATAATTTGACTGAACATATGTAATTTTTCTAACACATTTTATACCATTTACATTTTTATATAGGGTTTTGGAGGCTGGAAAGGCAAATGTGATTTTACCAAAAAGTTCACCAAGTGAAATAACTCATGTGATTGCCAGTAACGCAAGAATCAATGCTGAGAAGGAAAAAGATAACATTAAAGCTCCGTTTTATCCAATTCAGTATCTTGGGGATTTTCTTTTAGAGGTAAGTAAAATAAATAGTAGACATTATTAAATGTTTATAAAGTACAAATGTAGTAAAATACAGTCATCCTTCTATATCTCCAAGGAATTAGTTCCAGGACACTCCTGGGATACCAGAGTCCACAGATGTGCAGATCTTAAGTACCTTATATGCAAAATGACCTAGTATTTGCATATAATCTACATACATCTTCCTGTGTACTTTAAAATCATCTCTAGATTACTTATAATGCCTAATAGAATGTAAATGCTATACAAATAGTGAATTATTCTTTATGGTATAATAACAAGAAAAAAAATCTTACACGTTCAGTAGAGATGCAGCCAGTACAGGCCTAACTACATTTTTCCAACTGGATTTGTAACCTGCAGATATTGAGGGCTAACTGTTTATGTTAAAATTGACTTCTAAACTTTAAAATATAGTAATTGGAAATAAAATGGTACATTTTAGGGCAGTTGCTCTCAGTTACTTACATATTCAAGAATACGTTCTCATAGAGATTCAAAAGAAGCTGAAATTTAAATTTGTCTTATTTTGAGTTCTACTTTTGTTTTTAGTGCTTTAGTGACATATACTACAAAACAACTTTAAGCATTTTAATGTGATAGTGTAATAAAATAGCAGTAGAGACTGGGAGCAGGAGGTTCGTACATGTAATCCTAGCTACTCAGGAGGCAGAGATCAGGAGGATTGCAGTTTGAAGGCAGCTAGTACAAATAGTTCATGAGACTGTATCTTGAAAAAAGTCATCACATAAAAGGGCTAGTGGAATGGCTCAAGTGTAGACCTTGAGTACAAACCCCAGTACTGCAAATAAAAAAATAAATAAGCAAGTGAGCAGTGAATTATACATTATCCTATGAGAATTTGGAGTTATTTTCCTGTCCTTTCCCCCTTCCTCCCTCTCCCCACTTGATGCAAATACCAATCCTCAAGTTTTTGAACAGGAATCATACCCTAGAGAAAACCCACTGGGGAGGTAAGCAAAGAAGAATTATTAGTCATTTAAGGTAGAAGAAAAACCTCAGTATATCCAAAAACAGCCTTGATCTAGGAAAAATCATCTCCTTTAGTGTTCCTCATCTCAATAGATATCATCACCCTTGCCCTAATTTATGCCAGAAACCTGGAGTCACTCTTGAAACCTTTTTTTCGCTAACTCCTCATATCTTGTCAGCTATAAATCAAATTGATTTTTTTCTCAAATATCTCTTGAATTAGACTGCTTCTTTCCTTCTGTACTAACATCAAACAGTTCATCATCTTTCCTCTGTGCTCCTGGAATAGATTTCTAATTCTACCTTTTTATTTTTATTAATTTCCTAATTTCTCTTACATTCATTCTCCTTTTGTAATATATCCTAGTTCATTCAAAAAGAGGAACTGTAATGTTCTTTATAAAGTAATTCCGATTTGTCATTTTCCTAGTTAAAACCCTTCAATGGCTTACCATTGCAATTAATTCTTTAATCTCTAACATAGTTTACAAGTTCTCACAGTATTCCTGTCACTCATACCTTGTCAACTGTATTGATTCCATGTTTTTTTATGTGTTTACTATGCTGTAACCAAACTGCCTTCTAGTTTCTTAAGCTATTTCCTATTTCACTGTCTTCATGGAAGATACTGTCTCTGCCTGAAAGTCTTCCCCAGTGTTCCTTCACTTCTTGTGCCTTCCTGCTTTCTGTTCATTGTTCAGGTTTCTGTTACAATGTTGTTTCAAGGAAGCCTACCCAACCCCTTTATTAGATTCTTTATTGGGTTAGATTCATATATTTTCTTTTTTTGCAGTACTGGGGTTTGAACCAGGGCCTACACCTGAGCTGCTCTACCAGCCCTTTTTTGTGAAGGATTTTTTCAAGATAGGGTCTTACCTGGGCTAGCTTTGAACTGCAGTCCTCCTGATCTCTGCCTCCTGAGTAACTAGGATTATAGGCATGAGCCACTGGCACCTGGCTCACCTATATGTTTTTATAGCATCATTTTATTTCATAGTGCTCACTACAAGTGCAAATAATTGTCTAATCATTTAATTAATTACTATTTCTTATCTAACCCAAAAAGTCCTTGGCATCAAGGATCGTATCTTTCTTTTCTATGATTATTTTCCATCTACTTCAATAGAGCCTGGAAAATGGGTTCAAATTTACTGTTTGTTAGATTACCAGAGAAATTATGAAAGCTTCATGAGGCTCTTAGGAATATGTATAACGTATTGTTCTATAATTACCTTTCCCTAGTGAGTAGCATCAATGTAGATCGGAAATTTGACCTTAGTTCAAGGAATAGATCTACTTGGACTATGGATAATATCATTGTCCTTGACAGTGATTGGTCTAGGAATGAGCATGTGAGTCAATGCAGATCAATGGGACATGAAGAGAGGTATGTAAGAGCTAGGATGATTTTTCCTCATTCTAAAAAGAGAGCCAGTAGTAAGCTTGTTCCTGCTAAATGTGAACACAGAAGAGTGGAACCTGAATTTTTACTAGTAGCTATTCTTTGACCATGAAGAGTAGTAAGTATTAGGATGAAGCCAGCTCTATAGCTAACAGAGTATAGAGAGAATTGTTGAGTGATGTTCTGGTAAGATAAGAACTGTAGTATACTTGCAAGTGAAAGGTCTTACCAGTAAAACCTGGGAAAAAAAATCTGAGAATGAATCTATCCATAATCTGTCAATGTTTAAATTTCACCTTATACTTTAATTTCAACAAGGACTAGACATTTTTTCTTGCTTATTGATAAAAAGATTGTTACTAGACTAGCAGCAAAGCATTAGCTTTCTTAAGACATAAGAAATTTCTTTTTTATTTAGAACCTTTGCTCTAATAATTGGTTCCTTGAAAACTTTTACCAGTGCTTAACCTTTGTTTTAGAAGAGTATGTTTTACATACTTGTTTAACTGAGTATGACGCAATTATAGATTAAGTTGAATATCATAAAATGCATATGATGTTGATATTACACTTAATTAATTGCCTAAAACATTTTTACTTACCTACAGAAAGAAATTCAGAATGACGAAGATTCCCAAACTAATTCTGTTTGGACTAAGCATAGCAATCAAGAAAAAAACAAAGATTTTGGGAGAGATATGGGATTTCTTGAAATAAAAGGTGCTTTACGAGAGACCATGTGTAGAACTCAGGTAAAATCTCATAGGCTAAAAAAATAACACATCTCTGGGTATTCGTATAAAATTATTTGATAGTCCACACTTGGTGGAGATAGCATAAATTTTAGAATCTGAAAGCTGGTTTTTAGAACCATTTTTAGTCTGTGACTTGCACATGTTAGAAAATTTCTGGTTTGAGACTTGTTGAAATAATTTATGTATACATATAGAAACACAGAATTCCTCACATGTATTATGTTCTCAGTGCATGGTAATTACTTAAACCTCCTTTGAATGTTTAATGTAACGTGTTTCTTATAAAGCATTTTCTTACCTATTAGTATTCTATGTATTCATCATTCATCATCTAAATTCAAGTATTTGACTGCATATGTAGAACAGAATTTTAGAAGTACAAGTGAAATTTTATTAACGTGGCAAACAAAACAAAAATAGGCAGAACATTGTAGCTGTGAAGTATAGTTTTTCAAATACCAGCAACAACCAAAAATGGCATTTTTAGTTCTACTGTAGAAGAGCTGATGTTTAATTATGTTCAGTTTCATATTATGTTTTAGGAAATAGTCTACTTGATTAATTTATTAAGCCATTATTAATTAGTAATTATTATTAGCTCACACCAAAATATTTTTACAAGAAGTTCAAAATAAGTTGTTTTCACTATATCTGGATTAAAAGAAAAAGAATTCTAGGGACAATTTGGAACTTTTTAATTGTATAGTATCTTAAGAAATTACATACAATAAGATTAAAACTTTCCAAGCTTAAAATACTTTTGCATTCTTTCTGGCTTTTCCAAAGTACAGCAAGTATTTATGTGACTTACAAGCCGACTTTCTGTGATCACATATGCATGTTTTAATAAGAGGCTTTTTGAATTGATGTTTTTATTGAAGCATGTATTGTAAGTCACAGTATAAAGTATTTTTCATAGAGAAAGGATTGTAAAATAATTTATTAAAATAAATTTTGACTAAATGTGGAAAAAGTAGAGATTTTGTAAAAGATATAGAAAGTTAAAATATATCTAGGAAGATGTATATAAAATTTAGATGGAATTTCTTGTTTCTAAAATAAATTTCTTAGTGTATAATAAGTAAACAAAATAGTTTGTAATTCTCCTTACTCTAAATTAAGCATAGATGTAAACTAAATTAAGTACATATATAGACTTACTATAAAACGTAGTGAACTAAAACATCTATGGGTGTTCTGCTTTATCTTAGTATAACGTGCTATAGTTCACTAGACTTTTTACTTTTTTATACTTAATCTTGTATATATGCTTCACAAAATGTACCTTTCTGAGGTTTTCTCAAACCATACTTTTCCTCAGTTTGTGACTTGCATTGGTTGTTTTGAGTCTGTATTTAATCCAGTCTCATTAAAGTAACTTTATAAATATGCAGAAAGAAATGCAAAATCATGAGGAAGATGTTTGTGGTAGTTCTGTTTTGAGTGAACATCACGAAAAAGTAAAATTCAGAGACTCCAGTAAAGATCTGAAATTTGTCAAAATGAGAAATACCTTCAGAAGACATACATACGGAAATCAGGTAAAACTTTACAAATTAATAATTATTTATATTCTAAAATTTTTTTTCTAAATTTACCAAATACAATGTTTTATATGACATTTGCTTAGTTTTAAAAAGTATGTAAAAAGGAGTGCTGATGTACCCACCAGCTAGGTAAAGCAGCACCAGAGTTTTGAGCCTCTTTGTCATTTTCTAACTACATCTCCTCTTCTCTCTTTACTCAAAGTATCCTTTATTTTAGAATTTGTGTTAATTATTTTCTTGCTTTTCATTATAGTTTTACGAGCTGGTTAAACAATACATTGTTTAGTTTTGCCTGCTAGGAAATAATTATATGAAATATATTATAATGTACACATTATATTTTAATATAATTATATTATCTATATGATTATATAATAATTATATAATTATATATATTATGTATAATGTACACATTACATATATAATGTACACAATGAAATACATACTGTATTTCACATACATACTGTATTTGTGTCACAGTTATAGCTTTATTTGTTGGTTTATGTGACTGGTTATTGAATTATGAACAATCCTGTAAACAGTGTGAACATTCTTTAGTGTGACTCTTGGTATCTATGTTTAGGGATTTCTCTAGCTTAGGGTATAATATTCTTAGAAATGGAATGGAATTGTTTGGTCATAACACTTTCATTGTGGTGCATGTTTAACTTTGCTAGGTAATGCCCAACTGGCTTCCAAAATGTTGCTAATGTGTACCCATTCCAACAGTGGGTGAATTTTTCCTATTGTATAGAACTCTATTTTTCAACATTGTGTATTTGTGTTATAAGTCACTCTTCTTGAGTTTATTTGGATTTTGTAGAATATGTAATTCATATTGTGATTTGTTTAATTGTGGTCAAAATACATGTAGAAAGAAACTAAGAAAAAAGATGAAGATATTCAAAGGAGCTATACTTTGAGGAGAAAACGCAAAAAAGAAAGTGATTGCAGGAATGACATTGAACATGACACAATTAAAAGTACCTTAAGAAACCACATATATTATAGAGATCAGGTAAAACTTTTTATACTAAGTATAGATTTAATTTTTTCTGGTTCTTCCTAATCTTATTAGAGATTATGAAGTTAACCCTATTAGGGTTAACTTATTTTTATGATTACTTGATGTGTTAAATATAACCTGTATATCTTATTTTAAAAATCTTGAGTTGATCAGATATAATGTTCATAGTTAACGTTTTAATTAATTTTGGTCCACAGTGAAAGTATTTTTTTACATGAATACACAAAGAAATTTGAGTTAATGATCAAGATGTTCAAGTTAATTTTGTTTCACATAAATGTAACAACAACAAAAAACCCAGAAAAATGTATTAGAAAAGAGGCTAACTTTCTTTCTTTTTGCCAGTGTGGCAGGGGAGGGGGTGGGGGGTGGGAGTGAAGGTTGCAAAGCAGGTGCTCTACTACTTGAGACACAACTCCAGTCCATTTTGCTCAGGTTATTTTGGAGATGGGGGTCTCACAAATTATTTGCCTGGGCTGGTCTTGAACCTCAGTCCTCCCAATCACAGCCTCCCAAGTAACTAGGATTAAAGACATGAGTCACCTGTACCTGTTGAGACTGAATTTCTTAAAATGAAAAAAGCCTTAAAACAAAATCTGTATGAGTTTGGACGATACATTCTGATATAAATTTTATCTTTAATCATGCTCTTCTCTAGTATACAGACCATTTCTAATAAAATACCTTATCTTTTAAATGGGATTCTTCTTGGATAGGTTATTCCTAAAATATAAGTTAATTTTATATTCTAACCACAGTATGTTTATACAGGTTGAATGTTCCTACCAGAAATCCAAAACCACAGATTCAAAGTCTGACTTAGTAGTGTGACATGATGCTTAACACTTCTGACATAAAGCAGAAAATTCTACACACCTGACTTCATGTTATAGATTGCAATCAAAACACAGGCCAGGTGCATTAAAAATGTTATATGAAATTACCTTCAGGTTATATATATAAGAAGTATATAAAACATAATTTTGTGTTTAGACTTGGGTCTCATCCTTACGGATGTCTCATTGTATATAAGCAAATATTCCAAAATCTGAAAAAAATTCAAAATCTGAAATACTTCCAGTCTTTTGAGATAGGGAAAATTCAACCTGTACACATATATTCAGAAGGACTTTCAGAAAATGATTAAGATAAATAGATAATTTTGTTTAATGTGAACATGCCAACAAAGAAAGCAATTCCAGGAAAGATTTAGAACAGATTAAAATGAAAAGTACTTTTAAGGGGCTTGAGGATGTAGCTCAGTTTCCATGCTTGCTTAGCTCTGGGTTTGATGCCTAGTACCAATACACCATGCACACAGAGTGCTGTGAGAAATAGTTCATGTAAATATCAGATGAAATTCAAGAACTGAAGTGTTTGCTTTTTAAACTTTTTCTTTCATTGTATAATCCTGATAAATAATTGTGAGCACCTTTGCTGCAGCTGTGTTGTCACCTTTTGACACTATCTTTAGTGCATTGTCTAAAGTTGTTTTACATGTATACAGAAAGAAATGAAGCATTCTGTTTTTGCTGATTATTCCAAAGAATCAAAAACCAAGGATATCAGGACAGATGTGGATATCACTGAAATAAAAAATGCCTTAAGGAAGCACATATATAGAGCTCAGGTAAAATTTTGTGTGCTTTCATTTTATCTCTAGTGTAACCAAAATATATCTCTATGTAATAGTAAGTCTATATAAATGTATCTGACTCATTAGTATGTTTAATATGTCAAAATAAATTTCTTAGTTCATCTGTTATGAACAGTAATGTGTTTGGACATTTAATAAATATGTTAAATTCTCTTGTTTATATTTCAGTAATGTCACAGATTAATTGTGTTTAGAAAACGTAACTTTTTGCTGGATACTCAGTTGCTTGATTGCCCTGCAACATTTGATCTCTGGCAAGTTTAAGAAAAACTATGGTTTTGTTGATTATTTTTCTTACTGCTGAGGTGGGACTGCTTTTTGCAACTTCATACATTCAAAGTAGAAGCCAGAAATTTATTATTCTTTTACTCTGAATTTCATCTTAGTAGCAAGGTGGAGCACATTTTATAGCTTCTTCTTGCCACTTGCATATTTCTTTCTCAGTCAGTTGCCTATTCATAACCTTTTCCCATTTTTATACTGGGAAGCTTGTTTTATATCTTTGTTTCTAGAATTTTCTAAAATCAGGATGCTATCTCCTTATATTTATTGCAGATATTCTTCCAGGGCAATCTTTTTAAATTTATAATTATTGGTATTGTAAAACAATACATGATTATATAGAAAACATGGCTGACTCCCCCTCACACCTACAAACCCTTATGTAAGATGTTCTCCCCATTTATATTTTTAATTATTAAAACTCTAAGGACAATAGACATAATCAGACCTTCAAAGTGAAAGTGACCTTAAAATATTTTAATTTAGGAGAGGAAACAGAGAAATGCTCTTACTCAAGTGTGCTATTGTTGTAAAATGATGAAAGTTACGAATTTGAACAAACATGAATGTCAGATTTAATTATAGCTATTAATGTATTCCTTAATTTGTTTTGTATGTTTGGCCAGGGTTTTGTGTTTTTAAGCTGAAATGTAGTTTTCAACCTAAAATGTTAACTTTTAATTGTATGGTTGCTGTTTTGTAGGCTATCAGATACAACTGCATTAGAATAGATAAACAACCAGTATACAATGTAGAGGTAAGGGTCTTGGGGTAAGGTGGTAATGGAGGCAAAGCAGAAGCTTTGTCTTTTATTATTTTTAATTATTTTGATTTAAAGGAATGTGTTACTTGTATGATAAAGTTTCTTAACAAATTTGAAATGTAGTTTCTCTAATGAGAAATGAAAAAGAAAAATATAGCTCTGTCAGAGCTCCAAAAATTTTTTCCACAAAGTTATAAACAGTGATGAGAAACATTAAGTATTTACCTGGTGCTCAAGTGAAATATTATCTTTATTTTCACATTTTATAACTTTAATAATTACTGCTTTCAGATTAAATTCTTGATAAAATCTTTCCAAAGTGTATTGTTTTCTATATATCATTACTCATTCTTTTAAAAGTGGTTGTTTTATTCCATGTAATTTTTCAAAATATTTATGACTCTCAGCTAATTCAAAGTAGTTGTTTCATTGTTTAAAAGTATTTTGACCCAGGGGAAATGTATGTTTTGAAACATAGAGTTGCATTAGTGCACATCCTTAGAGTGATTTTATGATTCTCTACTTGTTGCTTTTTACAAATACTGTCTTGATGATATCTTAATATATTTAGGATATCTTTCTTAATGGACATAGTTTGTTTTCAAGTTTAAAATAAAACCGAAAATAAATTTGCACCTAAAGAACTATGTTGCTCAAGTTCTAAGTTCTCTTTTTCATTCAAACTTTGCAAATTCCATTAAAGATTTTCTTTTGGAGAAGTAGTCCCCTTTTTAAGGCAGCATAAATGAATAGGACAGTTAATAATTTACATTTTCTCATTGCCTTCTAGTTATAAAACATAGTTACACAAATCCTTTTTGAACCATGTAACAACTCTGTCATGTAGTGAAGGCTGGAATTATCTTCATTTTATACATGAGAAAATTAAAGCTCCTTACTAATTTGAGACTTGATCCTAGAGTTTCACCTTTCTTTGACTCATAGAGTCTTTTTTTTTTAGATTAAAAATGCTGAATTTCCCAGAGGTGTGTCAAATTTAATTGAAAGCCTCATAGAAGGACAGTTTTTTAAAGAAGCCATTGAGGAACTTTCTTCTTTGCAAGCACATTATATCCCTCCTGTATGCCTTCTTCATGCTCTTCTAGAGAACGTTTTGCAGGTAAGAGCAGTCCTGTGGGCCCATAGCTTTCTTCAGAGAACACTAAAATGTGAACATTTTCTCATTTTTTTTCCCTTCTCATTTCACTAGGAAATGCAGTACCACTTTTCCTATTTTTTAACTATATCTAGGCACTACTTTGAATAGTTTAGCTTATTATTTTCTCAGAACTTCCCAGGTAATTTTCTTCAGGGAAAAAGTTACTTGTTTTTTTTCCCATGATAGTAAAGAGTCTAACATAAAAATCAGATTACAGTAATAGAAAATGCCACTAGGTAAATTACTCCTGTAGTACACTGATAATAATTTATTCATGGTATATGAAGAGAATGAACATAGTCCTTATTAAACCATTAGGAGCAGCTATTCAAAGGTGGCTTTTGAATCGTGTTCTTCATCAAGGTGCTGATTTGAAAATTTAGCAAGCATAAGCTATGTCACACTAATGATGGTGATAAGTAAGAGTGTTGCCTACAAAAAAAATTTTTTGGTGGTACTGGAAGTTGAACTCAGGGCCTCCTGCTCACAAGGCAGGCTGAGCTATGGCCTCGGCCTTGAGAATTCTTTTACCTTTACCTCCTTTTAAATAACATTGGGAGACTTTTATTCTCAGTATAATCATTAAATGAAAACTGGACATTTTGTCCAATAGCTAATATTACCTAATGTTTATTTTATTTTTTACCTAATGCTTAGATACATATTTAGAGTGTGCCTCATGAGACTTCCATCTGATTTCCTTTGTCCAACACATACATTTGAAAAAAAAAATCTGTTTCTTTAGCTTTTATACTAAATAGCCGGTGAAACTGTACTTTTTTGCAATAGTGTTTTATTTGTTTATTTATCTTTAAATACTAGGATAACATAGATACGTTTTCTGGTCGATACTTTCATGTATTGTCAGCTCTTCTTCACCTGCACCCTCCTTGGAAGTCGCCAGCCATGTCGAGATACTACTTAGAGTTGTTTCAGTGTCCGACGTGTCTCAGAGGAGCCTGGTCTCTAGTGGAAGTACTTATCAGGTAAGGAAGTTCACATGTAAGGATGTTCAGTTTTAGTTGTTATATGTTTAGTTTAGTCGTTTTTTTTTGGATACTGAAAGAAGTATATTTCTCTTTTTAGGAAAGGTGTGTGTGTGGTATACTTGTGTGTTGTATTTATTGCAAAACTTGTATAAGGGGGAAGCTATGTTGGTCATGCTTGTCAGTAGTGTTTTTAAAAAACAGTAAATGCATGCAATGAACTATGAGAAAACCAGATGCTAGTTTTTTTAACAGAACTATAAACTTGCATATTATTTTTAAAAGGAAGAAAATTAATTAGTGTACATATCAATTTTTTGTTACCAAAAGTATAAATACTTGTAAACTTATGCAGTATCTGTTTTAGGGGTTTTGTTATATTTTTCAACTACAAATTTGAATTTTGAAACAAGACTTAATGTTTCCTAAATATGGTACCTTGTTCATGCTGTGCATATACTGTCATCTGCTTAGACCTTTCTTTGTCTTCCAAATGTTACTGTCTTCAGAAATCCTTCCTGTTGCTCCTTTTCTGTAGCAGAAAGAATCATTTTCCCATTTCTGCTCTGATAGCTCTCTATTTGATAGCCCTCCCTTATCTGGGAAGATCGTTTCTATTTGTTGAAGTGTCTAAAAAGGTCTGTAGTAATGAGAGAAAGAATACTTGACTAGCCAATCATAGCCTAGACCTTTGGTTAGTTCCTTGAGATATCACCCTGCCATCTTGTTTGTAGTATCTGAAGTAAGCTGACAGGACAGATCCATTATCATGAAAGTTCTGTTTGAGGGAACTATGATACAAGAGTGAAAGGAAGTAAAATTCAACTTTTTGGGGGGTACTGGGGTTTGAACTTAGGGCCTAAAGTTTGCCAGACAGGTTCTCTACCACTTGAGCCATAACCCCAACCAATTTTTGGTTTTAGTTGTTTTTCTGATAAGTTCTTGCATTTTTGCTAGGGTCAGACCTCAGACTTCTTTACTCCTTTTGAGTTGGAGTTATAACTGTGTACCACCATGCCCAGCTTCTTGGTTGGGATGAGGTTTCACTAAACTTTTTTGCTCCAGCTGGCCTTGAACCATGATCCTCCTGATCTCCTTCCAGGTAGCTGGGATTACAGGCATACACTACTATGCCTAGTACCAAATTTTTGAAACAAAAAATGTAGCCCTACATAATCATCATTTACTAAATAATAAAAAAAAAATTGTGGGTAAGAAAGAGAATTTTAGCAAGTATATAAGCTTATGGTATAATTCATCATTTGGATCAATAGGAGTTAATAAAATTAAGTCTTCGTTCTCATCAGTGAAGATAAAAAGTACAAAGGGAGAGTACTGATAGCTGTTAAATGTTATGATTAGTGAAAACTAGATTGATCAGCATTATTAAGAATTAAGTTAAACGAGATATTTGAGATGATTTAAAGGAAAAATATATTAAAATTTTCTTGAACTTTGTATTTTAAACAAATTCAGTAAAATTAGTATAAAAAAGAACTATTTTGTGCACACATTACTCAGTGATTTTGCTTATATATAATGGATTGTTGGGTTCATGTTTTTCAGGTCTTGCCTCTTCAATGAAAGTTTTTGTCATCAAATTTCAGAGAATATTATTGGCTCTAAGGTGCTCCACCTTACACTGCTCAAATTTTTCTTTAATTTAGTTGAGAGTGAAGTACGGCATTTGAGTCAAAAGTAAGTTTTGGTCACAAGAAACACAGGTTTCTATTTTTCTGTCATTTTATCCACCATTTTTATAATCATTTGCACCTAAAAATCACTGTTTTAAAACAGATTTATTTTCTAAATGTCATCATATACATTCCAGTGGCACTGAAGATTTATGTACTGCTTTTCTTTTTCCTCAGTTTACATTTTTATTTCTTACCCCTCATTTGGATAAGTGTGTTTTTGTTTTTCAGGATTTATCTACTTTTAAATTATTTAGTAAGTCAGTGTTCAAGTAAAAAGCTACTCTAGGTTTAAACACTGAATCTACAATACCCATAAGTTTTGCTCATGCTTTAAAACTTGCAGAGATTACTATGTGTTTTTTTGAACTGAGGCCATTCTTTATATTATGTTTTTTATTATAATTGTATGTTATAATCTATATATTATAATCTTTGTATAGTAAAAAATTGCTAGCATTTTTGTTTTGTTGTTTTACTGTCATGATTAAACTGAGCACAGATGTTTAATTTTTGCTCCTGTTTTTGTTAGGTTGTATGACTGGTCGGAGTCTCAGAGTTTGAAAATAACAGGGAAGGCAGTTCTTCTTGAAATCTTTTGGTCAGGAAGTGAGACCTCAGGGCTTTTGACCAAACCAGTAAATATGCTTTTGGAATGGACTATCTATTCTCACAAGGAAAAATGCAAGTCTAATGATGTAAGTAGATTAATTTGCAAATGAATAATAGTCTTTGAAAAAGTACAGTTGGTCCTCCTCTTATCTGTAGGTTCCACATCCATGGATTTGACCAGCTGCAGGTAAATGCTTCTGTACTAAACATACATGACTTGTTTTCTTGTCATTTTCCCTAAGAACTGGAGTATAACAGCTGTTCAATAGCATTTAATTTATAGTAGCTACTATAAGTAATCCAGAGAATAAAGCGTCAGGGAGGATATAAGTTATGAACAAGTACTGGGCCTCAGTGGCATCCAAGGCACGTCCTGGAAACAGTCTCCTTTCTGTAGATTCTGAGAGGTGACTGTACTTTTTTTTTTTTTTTTGTCATATTATTGCTGTACTGAGGGTACATTGTGACATTTACAAAAGTTCTTATAAAAATCATAGTGGAACTCACCCCTCCATCATTCTCCTGTTGAATTAACATATCCTTTCCTCTTCCTTTATAGTTGGAACTACTTGAAAAAATTAAAAGGAACCCAAATATACTGTTGTTTTATGTTTAGCTTGTCTAGTCCTCTTTTTTTTCTTTTTTAACCTCATTGGTGGTACCGGGGTTTGAACTAAGGGCTTCACTTCATGCTTGCTAAGCAGGTGCTCTTCTGCTTGATCCATGCTTCCAGCCCTTTTTGCTTTAGTTATTTAGGAGATAGGGTCTTGCTATTTGCCCAGGCCAGCCTGGACCACAGTCCTCCTATTTTATATCTCTTCTCTTTGTTGCTGGGGTGACAGGTGCACACCACCACACTCAGCTTCTTTTCACTGAGATGGGGGTATCATGAACTGAGATCCTCCTGATCTCCATCTCCAAGTACTTAGGATTACAGGTGTGAGCCACCAGCACCTGACTTAGTTTATCTAGTCTTAAGGTAAAAAGGTCTTAGAGGCCAGTTTCTTCTTCATATGTTATTTAGATATAGGTAACTAGGAACAGCTATTTGATCAATATTGCTGTGAAATCTATAGTTACTTACATTTTACATTTATTTTCTGTGTTAGAACTATATTGGTCTTCTGATTTTATGGGTAGGAAAACTGAAAATCAGAAATGTTAAATAAATTTTGTATGTTTGCAAAGAAATTGGATCTTTTTATGCTTCAGCCCAGGCACTGATCTGTTCTTTATGATACTGTCTTAGCTGTTAAATGAATATGGGTATCATTTTTGCTTCTCCCTTTCTAAAACTTTTAAATGACTTATAACATTGAGTATCATAATGAAAAGATCCAATGAAAAGAGTTCATTCTTGTCTGTACAGAGAAGTTTTGAAGGCTCTGTCAAAATTTAATACTCCCTTGTTACACCAATACTTACACTCATGCAAACAAATACATAAGAATATCCTACAGTGTTATATCTACTGATGTGAAAGTGGTAACAACGTAATTCCTCACTCTTAAGCATCAGTGAGAGTATCAAATTGTATGCCAAGACTCCTCTGATTTCTATGCAGTTGTTACAAAAGATGAACTCTGATGGGAAATAATACCAATTATGTATTTTTCACCAGGAAAAGAAAAGGGAAATTGCAGAATACTTTATGTAGGAAAATTATATTATTGTATAAAGTAAAAAAAAAAGAGAGAGAGGAGGCTAGGCATGATGGCTTATATCTGTAATCCTAGCTACTCAGGAGAAAGAAATTGGGAGGATCACAGTTCAAGGCCAGCCCAGGCAAAAAATTAGCAAGACCCCCATTTCAACCAACAAGATAGGAGAGGTGCAGGACTTCTGTAATCCCCACTCTGCTGGAGGTGTAGGTTGGAGGATTGTGGTTTGAGATTAGCCTGAGCAAAAATCAAAAGACCCTACCTGAAAAATAACTGAAGCAAAAAGGACCAGGGTCAAGGCTCAAACAGTAGATTGCTCGCCTAGCAAGCATGAGGTCCTGAGTTCAAAACCTAGTCGCCTAGTAGTGCCTAAAAAAAAACCAAAACATGTAAAATACATAGCAACATTTTGTGGCACGGTTTGGGTACACAATAAACATAAGCTACCTTTCAAATGATCTGCCTCTGAGGCTTTATTTTCAATTCTTTTTGTATTGTATCATTAATTTCTACTTTTAATTCCTTCCATTTACTTAGTGCTCTTCTCAGATATTTGGATCTTATTTCCTTTTCAATGTTTGTTTCTAATACTTGTACTTAGTATATATTACCTTTGAAGTATGACTTGACCTTCATTCCACAGATTTGATACTTTAATGTAGGGCACAGTTATTATCATTTATATATGTACTTTTTGGCAGCACTGGGATTTGAGCTCAGGGCATTGCACTTGTTAGGCAGGCAGTCTACCATTTGAGTCATGCCTCCAGGCCTTTTGCTTTAGCTATTTTTTCATACAGGGTCTTGAATTTTTACCTAGGGCTGTCCCCAGACCAAGAATCTCCTGCCTTGGCCTCCTGTATAGCTGGGATTACAGGTGCACCACCATTCCTGACTTACTGGTTGAGATGGGAGAGGGAGTGGTTCTCACTAACTTTTGGTCCGAGCTGGTGTTGAACTTCAGTCCTCCCAGTCTCCACCTTTTGAGTAGCTAGAATTACAGACTTGAGCCACTATCCCTGGCCCTGCTTATTAAAGTATTGATTTCTTCTTTGATCCAAGTGGTACTTTAAAAGGGTTTTTTAAAATTTGTAAATGGATGGGTTTTGTTAATGTGAATGGGTTTTGTTTGTGCTTTTGTGGTTAATTTCTAATGGTAACTTGCAGTTAAAAGAATGGGCTTCATATGATTTCAGCTTTCTGGAATTTAAAGACCTTTTCTTTTTGCTCTGTATGTGATTTAGGACCCAAGTGTATTTTCTCTGTTTTTTGGGTTTTCTGCTGCCTATTAGATCAAACTTAATAATTATTTTGATAAACTTTTCTGAATCTACTTTGTAGGTTTTTTTCATTTTCTTTCTTTCTTTATTTTTTTATATCAAGCAGTTTCTGCTTTGTGTATGGTAGCGCCTTACTGTTCTTTGCTATTGATACATCATCCTAACAGGTAGTCCTGATGGCAGAACGAACTCACAGTCTGGTAGAATTTTCTTAAGGCTAATGGTCCTTTGGGTGGCACTCTTCTGCCAAACTGCCAGGAAAGTCTATGCTGTCTTGAGGGGAAAAATATTAGCTAGTTTCTCTTAAAGTATTTCCTCAGATCTATTTTTTCCTCTAGTTTTTAAGGTTCAATTAAACTTAGGTTACACTTCTTCTTTATATTCTCTGTATTTTTACCCATGTGTATGTGTTTTCTTTTCTGTACTTACAGCATTCCAGACACAGGATCTTTTAGTTTATTGGTTCTCTTCAGCTGTGTCTAATATGCTTTCAAAATATGACCATTGCACTTTTAATTTTTGTATTTTTTCATAGTTGTAGACTTTTTTTTATTTCTTTCTATATCATGTTTCTATGAGTTCTAGTATCTACAAATTTTTCAAGGTTTTCTTTGGTCTTTGAAGATAATCTATATCCAATTATTTCTGTATTTGAGATTTTTGTGGATCTCTTTCCATTGTTGCTTCTGCTACTTGTTCTGTGTTTTTTATTTTCTCTTGCATCTTTTGTTTTCTCTTATGAGCTAGTTATCATTTGCTATGTGCATAAATGGTATTTGAAATATTATTTGTAGAAATAATTTGTGGTGAAGACCAAAGTAAAGATAATTTCTCTTTCCTTCTGCCAAAAGCATGGGTATACTACCTCATCCAGTGTCTGTGTCTGAGGGATCCTGGATAGTCCAAGTGCAGGAAAGGCTAAAAATACATGTAGTTTTGCTTTTCTTAAAAAATTTAATTCTAGGAATATTAATAGTACGATGGAATTTCACTGGATGCATGCAGTGACATTTGCTTAGCCTTCTTCCCTTCCTGTCCCTTCAGTTCTGTGGGTTTCATCATGTTGTGTTCATAGACATATGTGATATACTTCAAACCTCTTCACCCCTAGTACCCTCTCCTTTTCCCTCACCTCTCCTGCTGATTCTCCCTAACAGTTTCCCTTTTACACTCATGTCCCACTACTACTACCACCACCACCACCACCACTACCATTGTAGACCTATCTAGATTGTGCGTATGAGCGAAAACATGCAGTACTTGGCTTTTTGACTTTGGCTTCTTTCACTCAATGTGATGATCCTCCAGTTCCATCCATTTTCTTCTTTATGGCTGAGTAAAACTCCATTATGTATATTCCACATTTTCTTTGTCCGTTCATCAGTTGTTGGGCAGGTAGGCTGATTCCACAGCTTGGCTAGTGTGAGTACTGTTGTAATGAACATGGGTGTGCACATATCTCTTGTATGTTGGTTTACACTCTTGTATATATGTCTATAAATGATGGTATGAAAGCATCCTAAGTTTGGTCTGTTTTTAATCTTTTGAAAAACCTCCATATTGGTTTATATAGAAGTTGCACTAGTTTACATACCTACCAACAGCGTATGTGCTCCTTTTTCCCTGCATCCTCCCAGTATTTATTGTTGCCTTCTTGATGATTGTCATTCTGACTGATGTGCAATAAATAGACTTTCAATGTGGTTTTGCTTTGCATTTCTTCATGCATTTATTAGCCATTTGTGCTGCTTCTTCTGAGAACTGATTTATTTGCCCATTCATTATTTGGATTATTTGTTCTTTTGTTTAACATCTTAAGCTCATTTCATATTCTGGATATTAACCTCCCATTCTGTGGATTGTCTCTTCATTTTGGTAATTGTTTCCTTTGATGTACAAAAGCTTTATAGTTTGATGTAACACCATTTGTGAATTCTTGCTCTTGTTTTCTGGGTGATTAGAGCTCTGTTTAGTATATGTATTTCTTCAAGCGTTTTCCCATAGTAGATTCAGACTTTTGGGTCTTACATTAAGAACTTTGATCCATTTTGAATTGACTTTTGTACAAGGTGAGAGATAGCTTCAGGTTTTTTGCTTGCAGATAGCCAGTTTTCCTAGCACCATTTGTTGAAGAAGCTCTCTTTT